TAAACTTGTCTTCCTTGTACATTGAACATCTGTCAGTCCTATTTGCACACATATGCCCTAGACAGAGGGGTAAGCACTTCTTCCTAAAAGCCAAGTGGGTTTTTCAAACACTTCTGCAAGTCTGGACATTATGCATTAATAATGCAAAAAATATCATATGGCCATATGATTATTTCACTTTATTGTGAAATAAAGTCACAAGATCTAGACTTCCCCATCCGGTGATTAGGACCACCTACCAGACAGACCATTTTTGCAACCAGATGTAGTGCACATATTAATTATTCTTCCTCATTTCAAAGGTTTAGATTTAGATTACCCTAAGGGCCTCTCCAGATTTCAACCGATCAGAGAGAAGCAGAGAAAAATAAAAAGGGCACTCTGGTCTTAGATCATTCTGGGAGTACAGATCTCCTATGAAATCTACTTCTCCCCTTTGACTCCACACTAGGAACCATCAGGTTCTTCTGCACAGAAAAAAAACTGCATGAAGGAGGATTCAGGCTCAGAATTTCCATGCCAAGTACTAGACCAAGACTTATCTGCAAAACTGACTTTTTTTTTTCTTGGCAACAAGCAAGGACATAACTGATCAACATCTTTCAGCACATAATTACAGCTGACACTCCACGTTGTCACAAAAGCAAAAAGAAATAGTAGCAATGAAAGACAACAAAGTTGAAGACCGGTCAAAATCTGTTTTTAAGCCTCCTGTAGGGGACAAGGAAGGGAAGGAAAAAAAAGGCAAATACATACAAAAATAATAAAAATGCTGCATATTCAAAACTTCTGCTCCAAAGGGTAACATCATCTTCATTATTGTACTTCTCCCCACCTCCAAGTTTTTGTCAAAGATCCAATCCCAAAAGTAGCGTATGCCTTTAGATACACCTAGTTTGTAAGAAAATTGGTATATCTGAAATAACCCTCCTATATACAACATTACCTTTTCAGTTTATGAACACTGGATTTGTGTTTTCCTAAACAATAGAAAATTACTTCCTTGGGAACAGTTTTAAATCTACTACCACCACCACGAAGTGCCTTACGCTTAGCATTACAAAAGTTCAACATTTAGCAACTTAAATCAAGCTGGGAACAACAAAAACCACACTTTACCTACAGCATATGCAGAGAAGTTGGGAGAATTTGTTAAGTTTTAGGAGAACTATTACTTGTTTGCCAATTTATTTAGTTCTTTGTCATAATGCTGTATGCCACAAATCCCTAATTCCAGTCTGAAGTTCTAGACCTATTCTACCACCCAACTAGACCTTTTTGCTGCCTCTGATGGAGAACAGGAAAGCAATACTTTATCTTGCCTTGGCTCCTTATTTTAAGTTGTTTTGTAAAATATCCTTGAGAAGAAGATAACAGTAAATAAACAGCCGCAAACACGAAGGAACCTGCTGTGGTACCTTTCATTTAAGCCATTATCCTTCCATCGTACAAAATAGAAGACAATAACTCAGTGATGAAAGTGGAATACTCAGCAGACACAGAAAACTGGCAACATTCCTAGTGAGGGGGAAAAACTCACAAGCATTAAGCCTAGCAAGTGAAAAAGAATGTACACCAGGTGGAAAAGACTGATATAATGAAGAGCAAAATGAAGTTCTGTAATAAATACATGAACAATTAAATTAATAAATAACCACAGTAAGACATGCAGAAAGAAACTCTTATAAGCAATTTATGGCTCCTACCAATGATTCAATTTCTAACATCACTTTTTCACATAAGCTGCACGACTCTAATGGCAACTACAATCAAAAATGCAAATGGTCATGGAATAAAAAGAGTCTATTGGACACATAGCGCATGCCATGGAAACATTCAATTTCTAGCTTGTGTGGTTTTCAGAGTCAGTATATGAAATGGGGTTTTGCTGCTGGAACTATTAGCTCGATTTCCTTTTAAGAAGGAAACAAACCGACAAGCCAAACCCTTAAAAGCTGGTCTTCAGAACTGTAGAAAGATTTGAAAAAGAAGCTTCAATTGTCATTCCACATTAAGCAGTCATGCCAATAAAGTAGGTGTAACCCTCCTCGCACACACCTTCCTAGTCCCCTTGTTTCCATCACAGTGATGCCAGTACAGTTGCCCATTGCATCACATAGTGATCAAGCTGAAGAACCAACCAGTTGTAAAACAAGATGGTAAAAGCTAGGGGAGGAGGGGCTGTATTTTTCTGGCAGATCACTTCCCTGATCCATTTCACCAGGCAGCTGCACAAACAGTTGGACTAGCAAAACAAACAGGGTAATAATAAGGATACGAATTACCAGTATCTACTCAACATCATTGCTGCTAAAGAAATGTACTTGTACTTGCAACCTACATGAAAACCATTCACTTAAAAAAAGATACCTATAGGTTTTGTTCAGTTCAATAAAAAAATTCTTAGCTAACCAGCTGAGCAAGCACAGAATACAGTTGAAGCCATTACCCCCTAAAATGGAATAGAAGTCAACATTAGAACCAAAACCAATACAATGTTCACAGGAGGCGGGGGGAGAGAGATCTTATTCCACACTTATTTTCTATACTAATCTGAAATTACCACTGGGGGTTTTTTGGCTGGTTTTTTTTTTATTCATTTCTAAACTATGTGTCTTTTCCCGCTGTCCACTATTCACTATTATAACACTAGTAACTTTCTGTGCAATTCCAGGCAAAGGTTAAATGACACCAGCTTAAACAGGTTTGTTTCCTAAGCAATTTATTCACCTCAGAAAGACAAGGACTTCTATTCCCTCTATGTGAACAGTCAGTGAATCAATCCTTTGAGTTCTCTCACAGAAGCCTCATTTTCCTTGCATACCAGGCCAATACAGAAGGCCATTAATTATTGGTCTTATAATTAGCCAATATTTGCTTTTTTTTTTTTTAAATTCTGAAAATCACTTTACTAAACATGCATCACATCCTTCACATCCTTCTTACGTGTTTTAGAAAGGTAAATAAATGATTAAGCCCCTGCCTGTTTCATCAGTTTTCAAACCACCTCCAGGTCGTTCGTTGATTGCCCAGGAACAATCCGTTCTCTAGAAGTTGCTCATTTTTACACTCAGATCACAGTATAGTACAACTTCTGTCTATTGACTATCCCAAGACAACTATGTTTTCACCATTTATTTTACTGTAAACACTACTCATACACATACATATTTGTAGACACAGATACAGTTGGACAGCTGGCTCCATTTAACTCACTGTACTATAACTATATTGAGATGGTATATTCATAACACTTACTCAGTATAAACTGACATAATCACAAAAAGAAAACAATTTTCATCCTTTGCACTGTCTCACAATGCTTCCTTCCCTTGTGCTGATGAGAATTAGGTGAACTGGAAATTCAGTTGGGGAATTCCATTAAGAAAAAAAAAAAATTCAGTCCCAAAATGTTGCTCTTAACCTCAATCAATTCCCTGATTTGATTCATCACACAAGAGCTTGTTTCACATAAAGGAGAGGAAGCACAAGAAATAAGCCACCCTGCGCAAAAGGAAATGTTTCTTTCAGCAGTACTACTACCTTATGCCAGCTCAACATGTTCTTCAAATGACTGCCAAAGCTGTCATTACCTGCCACTGCTAAAGCAGAATAGGAACTCATACCTCAGTAGTTTACAAAATCTATCATCACAGTCAAGATGAAATCAAAGAAACCTGTACATTGTACGCAGCATTTAATGTATTCAAGGAAAAACTGTTTCATGCTTTTTATTATTTATTTTTCTAATTAGTAATTTTAGTTTCCTGTCTGATTGCCTGCCTCACTTAGATCAACAGACAAAGCCACAATATTCATTTCTCAAGTTATATTTAAGTAATTTCAAAATGCTTATGTGTAACATGAACAGCACCCCTTTTAAAGTTTTAATAAATTTTTGGTTTTTTTAGTTTCATTAATGCCATTAACTAAACATTCAAATGTGCTCAGTTACACTCTTTGTCAAAATTTTGCAGATAATCAAGATATATATACACATTCTTTTAAAAACTTCCCACCAGAGAAATGTGCCTGTTTGCAAGTCAATGCCTCCTTCGCACAATTTAGTGACTGTACAGTCACTGCATACAGCATTAAAAATGCTTCTGCTTTGTTACTTCTATTTTGCAGAAGAGTAATTTATCTTGGATAAAGACGAACAATCCATTGGTGATCGGCAGAGTACAGCAAAGTCAAGCATTTACATACTTAAACAGCGGACAGTCCTAAGGGAAAGGTCCTCAAGTACCAAGATAGTTTGTTACCCGCCTCCCTTCCCCACTGCCAAAGCATCACTTCTTTAACGCCCAAATCAAGACTCCCATTAACCATTCAAGTAAGGAATTTAGGCATCATCCACTATACGGCCAAGGAAACACAGATCAAGGTCTTAAATACAAGCAGATGGAAGAATTAATCAATTTCTAATCCCATAAATGAAACTTTATTAACTTTTAAAAAATAATTCCAAATAAATCAAATCACTGATGTGAGGCAACTTAGAAATGGCCTCACCCCTCCTCCTTTTTTCAAGGGTCTGTTTTGAATAATTTTAGTGATCTATACTGTTCAGTCTATTCTAGCAACAGAAATGAGTCAGGGACATGGGTCAGGATGTCTGCAGCTTAGTTTTTGTTCTTTCCACACACATTTCACACTTACTCTAGCTCACACTCTCCATGTAGTCCTGTTCACAATGTCACTCTGTGCCCACACATCTCTTCTCAAATCATCTCCATTTAATTCTGCACAATACCACCACATCACACCTTCCCTTTACTCCAGCAGACTTGAAGTGTACTCATTCATCTCATCTTGATTTCCAACTTGATCTCTGTTACAAAACTCACACTTTAAGAGCAGGAACCAATACATCACTTAAGTGATATTCCACTTAAGTTTGAGAGAGCTTTTACTGTTGTTGGAATTTATTTCTTTTAATCAGTAAGAAAGAAGACAGTAAATATTTGAGAAATAGCAATAGAACAAGTTTTACTTACCTTGAAAATACCAACCCAGTCTTTCTGATGAGGATGGATAAATTGGGTCAGAGTATAGTGACATTCAAGGTGTGTGTTCGGAAGATAGCTTTTTGCCACATTTTGAAAAATCACATGTGCAAAATTGGAAGTCTGCAAAGTGTTAGCTGAAGACGGAACTTCTTGAAAGGATGACATGATTGATCTGTAACAAAATTGTACAAGTTACTACTTCAATGTGGTGGAAAAATGAGTTAAGTTTAAAAAAATTATCTATTTGAAATATACAAGACAGAGAAACCTAACAATTAGTTCCTCTGTTCCAAAAACAGATAGCTATAGACCAAGTCCAAAGTGCACTGACTCAGTATCACTCCAAAACAATCACCTCTCAGAACAAAAGGGCAGTCATTTCAGCGATGACATCAAGATGGAGAGAAAGCATTGCTTAGCTGAATGCCCCCAGTATTACATCTCAGATATAGCGGCAGAAAGTGGGAAATAAAAGCAGCGGTGTGAAAACAAAGCAGGGGTCTAACTTACTAAAATATTCTTAATGGTTATGCATGTGGCAGGGGAGAAGAAACAAAGCTCCGTCGTTTCCCTACTTTAAACTTTCCTCAGAATCTGTACTGCTCAGTGCTTTTCATGGCATTTTTGTACGTGAAGTTTTTCTTCCGCTCTCAGTAAAAGTAACAAAGTTTCATTTTAAGACATTTTTAAAAACCAAGAAAGTTTAGATAAACAGGGCTAGGTTTTTCTCCTTCAGAAGAGTTCTCTTGCCTCTGTTTATCAGTCCGTGGGCATCTTTTACTGTTCCCACTGTAACACATACGCTTCCAGCCCTGCATGTTTAGCTTCATTACCATAAACAATGGATGCCATTGATAGTGGGAGCATTTAGGTATGCATGCAGTTTGATGGATTAACACTAATCAGATGGACTGCAAAAGCTTTTAATCGTGCTATCCATTCACCATCTCGTTCAGGATACACAGTGCTAAAAATTCCAGCAATGCAAGATGCTTCACAAGCAAAACAAGAACGTCCCTTCCTCAGATTCAGCAATACCTGCCAAAAATAGAAGATGGGCAACCGAGAAGTTTCAAGTGTTTGATTTCGAAGTACAATCACAAGTTTGTCAAAACATTTGGTATTAGGAAGATTGGGGCCTTATATACCTAACACATTTCTAGAAAGATGAGCCATCCTGTTCTTGCAATTGCTACTAAACGTAATTTGATATTGGCCAAGCAGATTCACACCTTGAATGAGGTAACTGCCAAGTGTGTGAAATAATACATTACTTTCATTGAAGATACGTATGGAAACCAATCCCAAAAAGGGATGGGCCACTGCAAGTCTCATGAAGGTCAAGGATTAAAAGCTGTCTATGTATTTCCTATGACCTTTTAAAATTTCTCTTTTTACCAGTTAAAAAATAAGTAACAGAGAGCTCTGTTTTCTGCAATAAAATGCACTCTGAAGTAAACAGGTATTCATCATTCAAAACAAGGAAAAGGTAAACAGGGATTTCTTAGATTTAAGCCCTCAATGCTTTAAGCTTATTACTACCCAATTTAGTGTAACACATGAAGTACATACCAGCAGCCATGACATCATTTTGATGTATTAGATGTTAAATAAAAGTTTGGTACCCTGAACAACACAAGTAATAACATAAAATTCCAAGCTTGTGAAGATTAATAGATATATCCAAGATTGTGAAGATGTACCCTGAACAACACAAGTAAACATAAAACAACATAAAATTCCAAGCTTATGAAGATTAATAGATATATCCAAGATTGTGAAGATTAATAGATATAAAGGACAAAACCAAGAACTTACACAAGCAAGAAACTGAGTAAAGCTCAAAAGACAGCTTTTGAGAGACAACAGGGTACACATAAATCCTATCTGTTATCTAGCTACAGAGTCCAGAAGAGTGTAGGAAATTTTATGGCATAGTAAAACCCTGAAATCTCCCACAACTCTCAAAACAGAGGATTGCATTTAAGACATCTCTCAAATCCACTCTGAACTATAAATTGTAGCAAACACCATTTTCTACAATTCTAAAAGAAAAGCCCTGATTTTTTTTGAGTGCAAGAAAGTCATTCAGTTTCAGTAATTCAGTAGTACCTGAAGCCAAATAATACTGACATGAAACAGACTGTTTCAGTTTTCAATTCCCATACTAAGTACAAAAATATTAAACAAAGCATTAATAACAAAAACAATTGAAAATAACTTTTTTTAAGAGGTCTGTTTTAAAAATTGGATAGTTTATTCTAAGCACGTATCACCAAAAAAAAAAAAAAAAAAAAAAAAACCAAAAAAACATAAACACCAAAAAACCACCAAAATAAACCCCAAAACATTCATTTGGTAGCTATTCATTTGGTTGCCAGCCACCACAGCTGAGTACTAGCCTTACCAAAACCAGTAAAAGGAGGCTGGTTTCCAAGCCCAAAGCAGAACTATTCACAAATCTGAACTTGTGCAGACCAGCCGAAATCATCTAGGATTACTGTTCCCTAGCAGGAAAATCCCCGGAGCTTAGGTGAAGCCGAGATCTACTCACAGTTCAAGGATAGTTTAGAGGATGCTCGTTTGCCGAGCTCACAGCTACCGGTTGGGAAAGAGGGGAGGTGGAGAAGGAAGAAGAGCTACGCTTAGGCTTCGTTACTGACATGACAAGCGATTCCCTCGGGGAGGTTGAACGACGCGTTTGGTTCTGCGCACGGAAAAGGACGTCAGGAGGAAAAGCTCGTCAGGCAGGAAAAACAAAAGCAGGACGAGCCGCACCGCCCCAGCCAGCTCGTCCCGGAGTCCTCCAGCGGCGGTCCCGGCGGGACGGGGCGCACCTGACACCCCCGGCCCCTACCCGCCCTGCCT